GGTCTGGCAAGGCAAATATTATGACATGATTTTTGTTAATGCCTCCGCTTTTCCCTCGGCGTCGGCTGCTTCGGCCGGGGAAAGGGTACGACGGATGTTTGACAGTGGAATTACCGAGCAGACTGGAATTTCTCTTTATACGAATCACAGGGGTGGCTACGTTTCTCCATGTTTCTGATGGTGTTCGCTATGCCGTGTATTATCGTCGAAATTAGATTGCTTTATTGCGTTATTGGGAGGATTTGTTTGAGGATAATAAGGGGATAAGGATTTTGGTCTAGTTCATTCGAAATCGATAAATGAGTAAGTGGGAATAGGCATTTGGATTTCTAGCGTTGACACTGGGCATTGAAGTTTTATTGTGATTAGAAGTGTTGAGCTTTGTGAAGGTTCGTTCAGAGAATTTGTGTCTTAATAACTGTTAATTAGAAAAGAAAATATTGAAAACGTATCGTTTTGGTTGCTTGCGAGTTAGTTCTACTGTTATCCTACTGGCGCAAATGGAGAATGTGTCAACGAGTTAATAAATAAAACATTGGGATGTTGACTACAGAGATCTGGTAATTTGCTTATCATAATTTATTTATCACAATTTATTTATATCTACGCGTAAATACGGCCCTTGAAATAAAAATAAACAAATATAATACATAATCACGGACTTCTTATCAATATTTACGTTAATCGAGAGCGTTTCAGAATTCTCTTTTGGTGCTTAACCTCTTGCTCTGGCAATTCATTTAGAAGCAAAGTAGTCACTTTGTATAGAGTGATACATTTCAAAGCACTCTAGTTTTCTCTTTATAAAACGAACGTTTCTAAGCTTTTTAACATTTTGCTTTACTGATACTAAAGCTGACATTGATAAGAAATTTACGTAAAAGGATGTTGATTCTCAGTTTCAACTATTAGCTTCTCACTGTCAAATCTAAACTGATCCGATTCGCCTCGATGTACCCTACTACTTTAAAATGTATTACACTAAACAATACGATTATTAAACAAAATCGCACGTCTGCGAGAAATTGATGAAAACAAAATTCTCCGCACTGCTTTTGAATGAATCGCTGGAGAAAGATGTTAAGCTCCAAGAGAATTCTGAAAAACAGTTTACGGGCGAAAAGAATCTTTTTGCTCGTTTCGTTTTCGATTAACGTCTTTCCGGCGCAAGAGCTTGGGCTGTTAATGTAACGATTACCTGAACGATGCGCCCAGAGGGTGGTCGAGTCGACCGCCTTTTTCAAAGTTCACCAGCGTCGTCCTCGAGCGTGCTCGGCGAGCGTCCGGCAGCTTTCGCGTGCAACGCTCCGGGTCGTTCACCTTCGCTTCGGATCGTGTTGCACGAATTACAAAATATCGAGTGTTTGGTGTGCTTGCACGATAGGCGATATCGATTCGTTCCACTTGCTCCGATACGTCTGTCTCCCTCTCTCTCCCTCTCCCCCCTCTCTCTCTCTCTCTCTCTCTCTCTCTCTCTCTCTCTCTCTCTCTCTCTTTCTCTCTTTGCCACTTCCCGCTTCACCCCCGCCAACCCTTCGCCACTGCCGTTCGCGTCGAAGATGACAGCGGGAAAGAACATCGCGTGAATCTTTATCTTATTTTCAATTCCTCGCTACCTGCTTGCGCGCGTGTTTCCAGCATTATCGCGCGCAAGATCGACAGATTACGGTTCGGCTAACGAATCGGTTCAAAAGATTTTACATTATAATCGAACGCTTATCGCGGGAGATCGGGAAAGGAACGATAGCAGTGGCAAAGTTGTCGAGAGGCATGTATTAGCTCAGATGAAAATCGAATAACTATGGGACGCGGTTGATTATTTAAGTAATATTTAGAATGGTTGAATGAAATATTGGATGGTTGAATTAATATTTCTTGAGTCGCTTACTGTTGGAGGTTTGACATGTGCTTCTTGATTTTAGTTTTAGCTGTGGAATGGGGGAAGATTTGAAAGTGTTTGTTGGTAAGGAAGTGATTTGTATTGTAAAAGAACAAGTTTTTTGTATGTCGTATTGTGATAAATAAGCAACAGGTTACGGATTTATAGAATGTTCTATGGTCCCGGGATGTTGTGAAGATTTGAATGTGGCAGGTATAGTAAATTGATTAGTAATTGTTACTATTCTTTGTTTGTTCTTTAAATGAAGAAAGTGAAATAGAACCTGTTCTTAGGAAGGACAAGGTTGATCGGATAACAAAAGAAAGTCGTGTTGTAGTAAATCGGGCAAATTTCAGACAATTTGTTGTTTGTTTAACGCGATCTTATCTCACAAGTGGATCATCTCAAAGATAGAAAGAAGATGGCGATTAACGATAATGATTAAAAATTGATTTACATTATTTACTTGTTTGCACAACCTACTAAGTGAGCTTGTATTCGTCCAGATTGAATCGTTCCCTTCGATTGCGGCCGAAATTCTTCTGCTTGTATCGAAACCGACGATTCAAATGTAACTTTCGATTCGACCGGCAGTTATTCATCGGAATTTCCTTTTATTACCTTTATCTCGACTGCCGTTTGGTAACAGTTGACTATAGTTGAATCAACCGTTACTTAATCAATCTACTCTTACATTTGTTAAAATTATTTCACTGAAATATTATAAACTTATATAATGTATTTAATGGAAACTTATTTCAATTTGTACTTAATATTGCGTCAGACATCGAAGTAGTGAAACGGTGTAGATACATTATAATGTGCGCCGGGTCTGAAGGGGTTTCCGCGATAACGTAGAACCGTAGGTAGGTAAAATATTTGCGAAGCGAACACTTGAACTTTATTTACAAATTTTCACGCGATCGAATAATGGTAGAAGTTAATTCTGTTGGGACAATTTGCGTTTTGCGTTTTTGCGTTTCGAGTGTTTTTTATATGTTAATCCATGGTTTTATGAAATTTCATTAATTCATGCTCGAGTATTAAATCAATTTCTTATCGATAATATCGAATAATATTTACGTTGTTTATTTTACTGCTCTTAAAAGAGTTGCTAATGATGTATTATATGATTGGTCACCCTCGTCGTAAATCCGCAATACTGCATTAGATCGTCCCATAAGTTCGTGCCGCGATGTGTGAATCCTTTAAGTATTATAGATGCATACCAAAGCCACTACATTTAATATTTAATATTAAACTTTGTATAATACATCAACATTATGCGAAATATTGAAATAAAACAGGTTTGTTCCTCAATTTACGAGTGATTTCTCTTCGCGTTAGTGCCAAGAAATATACGAACGCCACGAACTTATGGGACTATTTATTGCCACTTACTGTAAGGCCGGAGGGACATTACTTATAAAATAAAGCGAGTATCCTATCAGCGCATAACAATCGTTTCCAGGGAACATTTCGAGTACCCGTTGTATCGTCGACGTCGGTGACAGGATCAGGATAACAAGGACGAGAACACGAATCAAGCCAGGTCTGGAGATCCGCAAACAAAAGAGACATTTCGTAGAAATACGTGGATTTATTGAAACATTTACATCCTCGTTTAGCTCGCGCCGTTTCACCGGGCCCCGTCGCGGCCGACGGAGGTCCATCCCAATCACGCGCGGTGTCCTTGCCTAAAAAGTCAATGCATAATATGTACAATCAGCCATAGAACGACCGATCGCTTCGAGAACGGACACGGAATTCGAGAAAACGCTGTCCCGCGCGGCGCGGCGGGTCGAAAATGATCGCTCGGTCCGTCGAAAACGCGCAACGTCGGACGACAATTCCGTCTCCGAGAACGCGAGCGTGCAAGAAACAGCAGCTCGGACGAACAATCGCGAAGTCGAAGACGTCAGGCTTCTCGCTCGCCGTGAACGGATCGACGGATCCTTCTCGATCGAGAGGAAATTCATTATCGTACATTGCGTGATTCCACGATTTTTTCTCGATCAAGGAAAACCTTCGATCGAGAGAAAATTCATTGACAATGATGGTAATCACTATGAGTCACGCGACTCTATTTTCTCTTCATCGTGAAAGTTCTTCGATCGAGAGGAAATTCATTGACAACGATAGGAAAAGCGAGTCCCATGGTTTTTCTTGATTTTTTCTCGATCATGGAGAATCTTCTTCAAGTTACATAATTTCCAGATTTTGTCTCGTCCTTTCTATAGCGATCTTCCTTCGATAAGATTCGAGAGCAAGTTCATCAAGATCGATAAAAAACTTGAGTCACATGATTCCACGATTTTCCTCGGTCATGAAAAATCTTCGATCGAGAGACAATTTACTGGCGATGATGAAGAATGCGAGCCACGTGATTTCACCACGATCGAGAGGAAACTCACCGGCGACGATGGGAAACGTCGCTATTTCAATGATTCACGACTTTCTTCTCGATCGCGGAAATCGTCCTTTCGCTGTTTCGATCATTCGAATTTCCCGCGCGTGCCCTTTCCGCGGCATTTTTTAAACTCGTGTGAGTTCGATCGGGATCCTAGGCTATGGAGTCTGTCGCTGTTATTTAGATGCTATGTAGTTCGAGAAACGGGATCGAAAAGAAAGTGAAAATCGGAACGGAGTAAAGTGTCGGAACGAAAAACCGAGAATTCGATGCGACGAGTTGTTTCACGATGATCGGTGCATTCGGCGATGCGCGCGCGCTGCTCTGTGGCTTCATCTT